CTGGCCGTCCTGTCCTCACCATGATGTGAGGCTGCAGGTCTCCTTGATGGTGAAGGCACTATTCTGTGACCACCTCCATAATCAATGTGAGTCACCTCGGGCATTGCCCCTTCATGAATGGGAGATATGAAAAATGCTATCTGAAAACATCAATGGTAGGACTGTCTGAGGAAACCTCTTCCTCCCTTTTTACAGTGTATGCTCTCTCCTTTACAGCCTCTGTTCCATTTGTTGGTTGTGTTACTGATGCCCTCTTAGCTTTTTCCTTGGTGTCAATGTGAGTAAATCCTCTGACCTTCCACATGGATGAATCAATGCACCAAAAGATCTTGAAGACAAGCCAGAATACTTGCACAAATGTTACAAAGTCAGAGTTAAGTCAAAAATATCGAACCTGCAAGCTACATGCATCTCTAATTTTGGGGAGTGGAGCATACAGGCTTCTTCGTCCAGCTGAACATGCATTCACTGGACTTATGAGTTTTCACAATGTTTGCCAAATCAGCTGGAACTGAATCCAACTGCTGTAGAAAATCTTCTGTTGTGCTCAAGGTACACTGGTTATATGCTTCCCCTGCCCCCACTCCCAAGCATGGACAACGATAGAGGCCACAGTAGATGTGGCTGGAAGCTCAGCACACACCATTTACAGAAATTGAGGCATCCATAACAACTGGCAACAATGGCTCTTAAGCCCAAATTCATGGCACAAGAATCCACAAACAACAAACACCGTAAATATAAAACAATTAATCTGCTTCTGTGAGAAGTTAAAAACCGTGGAAGTCCAAAGGTACTTGGGGAGTCCAAGTAGGATGCAGGAAATAATCAAAAAGGCTCTTAGAAATGCTGACTTTATATCTAAAGGAATGAGCTAGAAGTGGTGGAAGTCATGCTTCGGTTATACAACGCTCTGGTTAGACTGAATTTCAAACACTGTGAGCTGACCTGGGGAGCACAACATTGGGAAGGATATACTGATCCTGAAGGAGTGCAGCTAACATTTTCTTTAACAATATCTGAACTCCAAGGGTTAAATTATCAGTAATAATCAAACAATCATGGACAGTCCATTAATAGTTTTTGATTAAGATTTTCAAAATATTAAGGGTAAGAATAAAATAACCTAGTTATGCTGGTTAACATGTTTAGGATTGGAGCTGTAGTCTTCAAAAAAATAGTCAGAACTTCCAGGAGAGAAATTAGGAAACACTTCTACACACAAAGGCTGGTTAAAGTTTAGAATTCTTTTCCACAAATGGCAGTTGACCCCAGATCAATGTTGAATTTAAAATCTGAGATTGATAGATTTTTGTTAAGCAGAGGAAATAAGGAGTTTGGGCAAAGACAAACATGGAGTTAGGTTACAGGTCAGCCATGATCTCAGTGAATGGTGTAACAGGCTTGAAGGATTAATAGGACGATACGAAGGTGGGTCGAGTTGTGCGGAGGGCTGTTCTAGGTTACAAAGGGACATTGATAGGATGCAGAGCTGGGCTGCGAAGTGGCAGTTGGAGTTTAACCCTGAAAAGTGTGAGGTGATTCATTTTGGAAGGACAAATTTGAAAGCAGAATACCGGGTTAAGGGAAAGATTCTTGGCAGTATGGAGGAGCAGAGGGATCTTGGGGTTCATGTCCAAAGTTCCCTGAAAGCTGCCACTCAGGTGGATAGAGTTGTTAAGAAGGCGTATGGTGTGTTAGCTTTCATTAATAGAGGGATTGAGTTCAAGAGCCGTGAAGTTATGCTCCAGCTATACAAAACCCTGGTTCGGCCACATCTGGAGTATTGTGTTCAGTTCTGGTTGCCTCATTACAGGAAAGATGTGGAAGCATTGGAAAAGGTGCAGAGGAGATTTCCCAGGATGTTGCCTGGAATGGAGGGAAGGTCTTATGAGGAAAGGTTGAGAGAGTTAGGGCTTTTCTCTTTAGAACGACAAAGGATGAGAGGTGACTCGATAGAGGTGCACAAAATGATCAGAGGTATAGATAGAGTGGACGGCCAGAGACTTTTTCCTAGGGTGGAGATAGCTGTTACGAGAGGGCATAGTTTTAAAGTGAAAGGAGGTAGATATCGGGGAGACGTCAGAGGTAGGTTCTTTACTCAGAGAGTGTTAGGGGCGTGGAATGCATTGCCAGAGCGGGTAGTGGAGTCGGCCTCATTAGGGGCATTTAAGCAGCAATTAGATAGGCATATGGATGATACTATAAGGTAGGGGTGGAGGTTAGATAGACCTTCGGTTTAGGGTAAAAGTTCAGCACAACATCATGGGCCAAAGGGCCTGTATGGTTCTATGTTCTAATAGCCTACATCCATCTTATGCTTCTCATTGGGATCCTTGAGGAATTTATAATGGTTCGGAATCCAGAAGAGTACCTGCTTTTTTAAAAAATAGTGCCATGGAATATTTTTCGTCCACCTTAACAGGCAAGCAAGGCTTCATTTCTAATCTGAACACAGTGCCAATTTTGCTCACTTCTGCATAATCTGCATTATGGGTTGTAATGTATCTTAAACTTCCCCACTCCATTAGCTAATTTTAAAGCAAGGATGTTGCTACTGAATTAAACTGTCATTGAAAGGGAGAATCAAATATATCGTAGTTTGAAGGAAGCAAATAGGTTAGGTTGCATGACACAAAATTATTTTTCACTGATAGGTCCAAAGTCATAGCTTTAGCAATTGAATTTCCATGGTTTTCTTACTTGTTTGTTATTACTTTTGTAGAAAATCCAAAGAACCCTACAAAACTGGCATAAACATTTATTTAAACCGGTTTTAAACAAAGCAATTGAGAAAACACCACAGACATTCAATCCATAGTCACTGAAGAAATGACTTTTTTAGATGGAACAAAGGGGGAAAACAAGAAATAACCCTGGAGACAGAAGTAGAAGCAGTGGGCTAGAGCAAGTGGAGATGTTTGTTCTGGAGGAGAGTAATGGATTGAATAGAGCTTTTTCATGAGCAGAGGGATAAAAGATATGACTGGAAGCAGTTTCATATCTGACCTGATGTGAGGTACAACGACCACTTCAGGTTGTATGCCATCCAAACCAACCTCAGCATAACAATAATAAAACTGACAGGCTGGACTGATGGCACACAGTTGTTGGTCAAAATTGAAATTGGTTTGCCCATCTTTCAACTTCAATGATACCTTCCCATCCAAGAACAAGAGGGGCTATATATGCATTTTCGCCTCCTCTCGTCTCAGTGTCCAAGGTTTCAAACATTTCTACCAGATGATATAGGGAATTACTGACACTCCTTTCAGTTTAGTATAATGGACTATTATCAATGACCATTATGTCTTTTTTTTGTATTGCGTTCAGTTGCTTGTATACTCGGATCTCTCTGTCTATGGCCTCCTACATAGTTGCAATGAAGTTCTGTGTAAGGAACAGCCCATCATCCTTTGATTGGACAAAACAGACTTCATAGCATTCTGGACTCAACAATTTCAGTTCATGACCTCTAATCCTATTTTGTTTTGATGGGTTTTTTTAGATGACAGCTACTGGTAATAATTCTGCATCTTCTTATTCACATTTCTCTAAGTGTATCTTTTGATTTCTACATGATCCATTACTACCCTCAAGTTTTTCCTTGCATTATCATCTCTTCTGTCACTTTCCACCCTATCAATGACCTTTTATTATTTATCTCCCATTTCTCTTTTCCTCCCCCAGACTCTGCTTTAAACTGTTATGTGTCAAACTATTTGATTAAGGTGATGACCAAGTGGTATTATCATTAGACTATTAATCCAGAGACCTAGGTAATGCCTAGGTAATCTTGGGTTCAAATCACACTTAGGTAGATGGTGGAATTTGAGTTCAACTCTGAAAAATCTGGAATGAAGAGTCTAATAATGACCGTGAATCCATTGTTGATTGTTGGAAAAGCCTATCTGGTTCACTAATGCAGTTTAGGGAAGGAAACTGCCATTCTCATCTGGTCTGGCCAACATGTGACTCCAGACCCACAGCAATGTAGTTAACTCTTAATTGCCATCTGGGGCAATTAGGGATGGGAAGTAACTGCTGGCCTAGCCAGCGGACATCCCATGAATGAATGAATAAAAAGTGCAGTTCTGATGAAAGGTCATCAACCTGAAATATTAACTTATAATCTGTCTTGGCAAATATCACCAGATATACTGACCATTCCCAGCATTTTCAGTTCTCCTTTCAGATTTATATTTAATAAAGTATTTTTAATTTGAAAAAATACTGTATTTTGTTGATGCAACACTGAACCGAGGGCAATTTTGATTCATCCACAATTTGCTGCGGACATGAAGTTGATTAGTAGTCAACAAATCTTAAAAATAAGATTAAATGAGTCAGAAAAATGGTGGAAGAGAGTGTAATGTTCAACAGTATTGAAGGAAAGAGGTGGATCAGG